TTACTATTGTTGCTGTTGTCGCTGCTCGTTGTCCCCCATCGTTGCTGTTGTCATCGTCTTCTTCATGTTCATCATCATCAGTCACTACTATTAGCGTAGTTGTTGCTACTGTTGTTGCCGTGCACCTGTCTGTCTGTCTAAAACTTAATTGAATGCAGTTACTACTGGTAATGACTTGTTAAAAAAAAACCTAATCCAAGTATCAAAAAATTAAAGTTACATAACTTGATTGCTTTCCATTACTTTTGGATTACCTCAACATAAAATATGCAAATACAAATGATTGAAAAGAAAAGAAAAGAAAAGGCAAAAGAACAATGTATCCTTTGAAATGAAAATGGAAAGATTTTTAGGATCCACAGCATGTCCTCTGCTCTGAAAAACTAATGTGCTTTAAAATTGTAATCCTGCTTAATAATCTAATAATAATACAGTCTTATTTCTGTAGTGGGTGACAGTTACCTTTTCTTTGCATCCTGATAATGTAACTCAGTTACATGTAATCTGTTACTCTCCAAGTCTGCATATACACCAATACCAATACAATATGAATATGTCTTTGATATCTCATATTTACAGTATGTTTAAATACAGCTCAGCAAACAAAGGCAGGTTTTACAGATCTATAGAAAAGTGCTGTTTGTAATATAGTGTAACGGAATTTCCAAGAATGTACATTAATTTCTGCATTGTTGTGTGTGTGAGACTGTGTGTGTATACCCAACCTGTTCTTCCTGAGTAGTCTGCGAACAATCATGATGGTGAAGACGATAAAGAGGAAACCAACAACAGCGGTCAGAGCCACCAACCAGGGCTGAAGAGTCACTGACTGAGATCCTGATTCTACTCGTATGCCAGTCTGCACACCTGAACGAACACACACACACGCACACACAATTTTCATATTTCTCAGAATAAATACCATGAAGATGAAGTATGGTTAGACGATGTGTAAGCATTAAAGTCTAGATAAGATTGGAATTTGAAGTGCCATTACAGCTGCAGCTTAAAACTGAATAAAACGGCACTGCCATATTTGAGATGACCCTTTTCTGTTTTGAGCAATGTTAAAGACAACAGAAAAACTTTACCTTTGTTGGCAGAGCAGCTGGCAGACAGTAGCACACACAACACAAGAAAAGACAGATCCATCCTGAATATAATGGACCACGTCAACTAATGCAGAAAACACACTCGGTTTGGACCTTCAGCTTACACACACCTAACTCTTAACTGGGTCAAAGTTCACAGTCCAGAGGGAAGTTGTCACAGCAACCTGGGTGTGTGTTATCTACTGTGAATTCCTGTATACTACATGCTACAAAACATTAAACTCTGAAACTACAGTGATTGAATTTCCATAAATAGTCCAACTGTTAATGTGTTTATTCACACCACCACACTATGAAGCTTTTTAGATTCAAGATTCAAGATTCAAGATTCAAGAAGCTTTATTTAGCCCGAGGGAAATTACTGTGCAACGGTTGAAATACAAAGGTGGGAAAGTAATACAGGGTT